TGGCTAATGTTTGAAATTTATTATTATTATTATGCCATAAAAACTGTGCATGTGAGATGTACACGACGTTCATATATAGCTGCGCGCAGCTTATAAAAATGTCTCAATAATGCCCGAGCGGTCCCTGGTATTCTTGGTATGTTTATATATATGTATGTATGCAGCTGCATCGATTTAAATGTTTTTGTTACCTTAATAGTCGTGGTATTCTTGGTTTATTTATATATAAAGCTGTATAGGTTTAGAATTTTTGGTACCTTGATAATTTATTAATATTATTTTCTGGTTATATTAGCATTTTGAGAAAATTATATAGATTTTGACTTCTGATTTTTCGAAAAAAAGTGTATATTCACCTTTTTATGCGTTTTTTGCATCTATGCAATGCAGAAAGCGCATATTTACGGGAGGTTGTCTGTCTGTGTGTGCGCTGCGCGTCTGTACCGATTTTTCATTTCGAGACCCACAAAAGCTACAAGGCTGAAACTTTGGAAACTTAATCTACATGCGTATACGGGCCCCAATCTCCGAAATGGGCGCTCTCACGTACGGGCCTGTGAAAGTTTCTTGCGGGCAAGTGGTTAATTCGGGAATCAGAAGAGCTAGAAAGCTGAAGTTTTACGGGGATGTTCTCTGTACACGTAAGTCTTAATCAGCTTCAGACCAGCTCCCGGGTATGCGTGGTACCTATTTACGAGCCCCTGGAAGTTTTTTGCGTGTAAGTCGCTAACTCGGAAACCAGGAAAGTAGAAATCTGAAATTTTAAATCAGTGCTTCCTGGCAGCCTGTCTCAATTCTTTTAGCTAGAAGCATTTGCCGGAAAAACCGGCGTTGGTAGCAACAAAAACTGATAGACCAAACCAGGAGAGAAATGTTTGTTTGTGTGCAGCTACGTGCACAGAGAAAGTAAAGAAAAAATGGCCAACGCACGGGCTGCCCGTGCGAAGATGCGTTTTTTGCAGAGTTCCCTGCAGTTTTTGTCGCTGCACAATACGCGTTTTTGTTTATTGTGGCTGCGCTATAGGCTAAACAGCAAAAATGTACAAAAATGGCTAACACACGGGCTGCCCGTGTGAAGATGCGTTTTTTGCAGAGTTCCCCGCAGTTTTTGTCGCTACCGGCATTGGTTTTATCGGCAGATGCTTCTAGCTGAAAGAATTTCAGACTGGCCGCCAGAAATGTCAGTAAATACCCCCTCAAAATTCCAGTCTTCTAGCTTCTCAGGTTCTCGAGTAATTAAATTACTCGGAAGGAACTTTTCGCGGGCCTGTACTTAGGTACCACGCTTACCCGCGGGCAGGGTTTGAACTCGTTAATACCCACTTAGACAGGGAACGCC